GGGTGATCTCTCTGGTTCTGGAAACTTCACCAGGCAGGACTGAGGATTTGTTTCAAAGCAAAATGCTCTGTTTCTCAGTGTGTGACCTAGTGACTAGTATTGGCTTTTTAGCTCACTGATCTATGAAAGGATTTTAGATAAAACAGCTACTCAGCTGGGACTTAGCTTGAAAAGATTTTAGGAGGCATGTTATAGAGTTCTTCCACTTTCCCCGAAGCAAATACTTTGTCTTCACAAGGGAAAAAAAAATATTTTTTTTTAATATTTTTTAGGTTCTGTGTAATTTGGCTGGTCTTGGTATATAATCATGAATCTGAAATAATGTTTTGACTTGAGTTGATTTCCTCCTCACTTCTGTAAATAATGCAGTACAGTTCTCAGTTACTTTTACCAAGAGAGGGTGGGCAGTGCACTTCCTTTTCTGTTGAATGGTTCCTCTGCTTTCCGAGTTGCTGATCCCTCACTGGCAATCTCCCGTGTTCTCTCTTAGACTTCCCTGCTGCTCACAGCACTCTGCAGCACGATACTGTTTGGCGTGGTATTCACTTCATGCAAAAAAGCAAACAAACCACAAGTGTGGTTACTCTTTAGAATGGTGCCTATGCCATGGTCTAGGGGGATGGCCAGGACTATAGAATAAGCTATATCTTGACAAAGAAATTGAAGATGACTTCTGATGGGAGAGAGGATTGGAAACAGCTTGGTTGTTATCTAGATAGCTTTGAGGAAAGGTAGTTGTTCCGAGGGAAAATGCTAGTTTTGACCCTCCTTTGACCTAGCTGTAAGAGGCCAAATTTCCAAGTCTAGATTTAATGCAAGTGCTTTTTCAAAAAAATACTTGTGTTTATTGATTATTCTAAATGTATAATTTGATGGGAAGAGGGAAGTTTTGAGAAATTGGTGTCCCTCAGAATGATTGAGAGCTGCTAGTATGTGAAGTGCATTTCTTAATTGTCAAATAGCTCGTATAGGACCATTGTGAGAATTCTGCTTTGAAGGAAAACTGATATTATGGATGTTTCCTATTGTAGTTGATATTTATGCTGTACCTGCATTCTCATCTTTCCAAAAATCTGTGCTGAAATAGAAATGGTGCATTTATAAGTCTTATCAGTTACCCGCACCAGTTTGGACTCTTTCACTTTCCCCAGTATTACAATTGAATTGATTTCCTTTAGAGATATTTGTTCTATTAGCTTTGAAATTATTTTTGTTGCTTGGTCTAAGTGCTGTGTTTTTTACAGTCCCTTGATGCACTTTTCCACAGGTAAACCATGGCAGTGAGGCGGAGAAAAAGATCTGCGTGATAGATGAGATTGGTAAAATGGAACTCTTCAGCCAGGCCTTTATTCAGGCTGTTCGTCAAACGCTGACTGGCTCAGGGGTCGTGGTGCTTGGAACTATTCCTGTACCTAAGGGAAAGCCACTGGATCTTGTTGAAGAAATAAGAAGTAGGAAAGATGTTAAAGTGTTCAATGTGAGTAATATTAAATATCTTTAAAGAGCCTTCTGTTCTAGGTTGCTGGTTTGTATATGTTTCTGTTTAAAAACTGATTGTTACTAGCAGTTGGTAGCTGTGGGTAGCTTGTATGAAACAAGTTTTTTAGTTTCCATTTTATTCTTAATGGGCAGGTGTTCACCTTATTAAAAAGAAAATCACAGTTGGCACTTACTGTAGCACTGTGACACAGCTGGCTTTGCTTGTGAAGGGCTGTGGAAGTAATGATACAGCTGTTTTAAAAAGTTTTCTTGCTGTAGTATTATTGCCATATAAGTATTCAGTATTCCAGAGTTAAATCTTTTAAAGTATAGTCAGATTTTTATATCTTTTTTTCAGGCTGGCTTGCAGAAATATTACCAGTAATCACATTCAAGGGAAAGAATGGAAAAAAACAAACAGGGCAGCAGTGGAGTTTGCTCCACTTCTTTTGGAAGAAAGACACTTGTAAATGGAATGTGCTTTCTCTGGAGTCAGTGAACCAATTTCGGAGGTCATTTTGTTATTTTTACAGACATAATTTTCACAGTATTGGGGCCTCAAAGTACATTTCTGATCAGTTAGAGAAGTTCTCAAAAACTTACTACAACAAACCAGCCTGTTCACTGGAGTACACGTGTGAGGTTTCCTTACCATCTGTAAGTGTCCTGAATGCTTCACCAAAAAAAGCTAAACACAGCCCCCACTCCTTTGATTTACTTTTTTGCTTAGTGTGTACTATTTTTTGTAGAGAATAAAGCTATATATCCAAAACTGACCTGTGCATTTCTGAATTACAAATTCAGTAAGTGGAATTTACACGTCCTGGCTTACTACCAGGGGCAGTATCTGTGGAGCAGTGTACTGTTGCAGCCTGTTCTTTATCAGATGCAGGTCACAGTGAGAATGCTCACTGTGTTTTCATCCAAGTGAACAGGAAAGAAAAAAACCGCTATCTCAACAGTTTCATACTGAATGATCTTAATTACTGCAGAGAAAGCAACGCCTCCATCTTGTTTTTCCTCTTCAAAGTGAGAATAACAAAACTGCAGTGCTCAGAAACATTCCTCAGCTTGCTTTTACTTGGTGGTCCCATCATCTTCAGTTTCTGATTCTTAAATTAAATGCCTTTTTAATCAAGTGCTAAAGCAATCCTAGGAGCAAAGACGAGAGAAGAGTCCTGTCATCACATAAGCATTCGACTCTTACCATTCCTTTCAGAGCTAAAACCCCAGGTTTCACACTGCCAAGCTGATGTGTGTGAGTTGTCAGGCTGCTGAACGGGGTGCGTGTGAACCTGAATTTTGTATACCTTGCTGGACAGTGGCAGGACTGAGGGAGTGGGAACAGAGAATGTCTCACTGAAAGAAAGCCATTCGGTGCTTAGGATTGCAGTCATGGCAAGGCAATAGCATGTGTTTGGTCCTGTCAGAGGAAACAGTGGTAGAAAACAGCATTTTTCAGGGAGGTTTTTGATGCTTCCACTTACATGCCACTCAGGTTGATAGCTGTGTCTATCTGCCGATACAGCATTCTCTGAAGTACTGGCTACAGCCAGCTAAAGTCTTCCTGTAAATTTCAATGGAGCAATGTTTTCCTTTAGCTAAAAAAAAATCTTTACTAAAAAAAAAAAGAGCCATCCTGTTTATGCTGCTGATATTGGGACGTGCAGGTTTCGTTCCTTGTTTAACTAGAGTTCCTCTAGTGAATCCCTTAGCCAAAAGCATGGGTGTGAAATGTGTGACAGACTGCAAGGGTTCCCAGGTGGCAGAGCCCTGCTCTGCTCAAGTTGTGTACAGGAGAGCATCTGCTTTGCTTGCTCCAGTGATGTGCTACGTGCTCTCTCCCAGCTGGTTAAAACATGTGCATGAGCGGGAACAGAGCCTTCCCGTGGGGAGCTAGAGGTGTCACTGGCTGAAGTAAATCCCAGATCACCAGCAATGTTCTGTAAGGGCAGAGGCACAGGGAGAACCTGGAGTGCCTAAATAGCTCATGGGCAGTAATTTCTCACTTTTATGGTGCCGGGAAATGTGCAGAAGTGGGTGACTACCTTCCAAAAAACCACTGTCTGCTTTGTCACTTAGTGTGGAGTTAGGCTGCATTCAAGTAACTCAGCAGACGTTTTTTTTCATGCTTCTCAGTGTCGCAAGGGCAGTTCTGATGCTTGACACTAAGCACATAGAAACAGCTGTTTGGGGTTTTACAGTCCCTTCTGTCATGAAGACAAATTCAGTTGGTGTAGATGTGCCCAGCTGCACTAAAAGCAGTTGAGGATTTGGTCCCAGATGTTTAATTTATTATGTTTAGAGCACTTAACAATAAAAGCTGTGATATTTAAGACGTTTTCTTTCCATTGTTGCTCAATTCCATTTTGCTGAGAACTAAACTTTCCAGTGAAAATACAGAGGCTCTTTTTGCACTGCCTGGTTCTGCGTAGTTGTGCAGGTGTCATGAATAGGATCAGATTATCCTTAGCAGCCAGCACATACTCATTTTCTCCCACTTCCCTTTCTATTAATTTTGCTTCCATGAAACCTGTTAGTGAAGTTTGGTTGCATATGCCTTTTAAGAAAGAAAATACATAGTTAAATGGATCAGAAGAAGAAAAGGTTCCATTTGAACAGACTCTACAAGAAGAAATTTCCTTGACAGCACTTTAACAGAGTAAGAAAACTGTTGTCCTCCACTGTTGCCTGCTTGGAGTCTAGGTGGTAGTTTCCTCCAAATTACCTAAATGCTTAGCATAAGCAGCACCTACAGTTATTTTCAACACCCTGTCTAAGAATCTACCCATCTGTTTGTACATTCAGTACAGTTACTGCGAAGTTTGTTCTCTCTGGGAAAGCTGCCTGCACAGAATGTCTCCGTATCTTAGACTTCTATCTATCAAGCAGGCTTTGTAAAACAGTGGTGAAAATTTCCCAGCTCTTGGCACTTTCTCTCTGCTGCTCTCACTGGACTTTTGGCTTGTAGTTCTAGAAAAGGAATAGATAAAGTGTAGCATTGTTTTTGTTGGCTGTGAGACAGTGGGAAGAGCTATTAAATGTTCAGAAGGTCCTTTGAAAGTCAGGATATCAGGACACTCGCTGTGAGATTTAGAGTTTGGCTCATCTATGCTCTGTGCCTTGTTTACCTTGGGGTCTCTCAATAGCTTTTCTGGAGAGCAATTCCATTCTTTGTTGTCTTGCTCCCTTTGTTGTTGTGGAGTTTTCTGTTTATCTTATAATAGTCTTGGAATGATAACAAAACCAGCAACATTTTCAGGCAGATCTTCCCTTTCATTTCCTTTTTTTTCTTTTCTTTTTTTTTTTTGTTAAATGTCACTGTTTCATCAGTTACATGTTGATCTGCTCCCTTGAATTCAAGTGGCATAGGTGAGACCATCATCTCTAGGTTTTACAGGTTGGTTTCCAGCATGTGTATAGGATGTCTGTGACTGTAAATAGCTCTAGGCTCCTAGGGCCAGGTTCCTCAGGTAGGACTGTCTCCCATTTAAAAACAACAACAACAACAACAATAATATATTATTATTATTTTTTTTATGATTATGATAGTAATACTCTCTCCTCAGATCGGTATTGTCTGTAGTCCTGGAAGGGATGCAAACCCTTCTCCTCAGATCTTAAATGCAGCTGCAGGGAATGCAGAGACCTTGCTGGTAGAGAGTTTTATGCCATGCAGAGGGTGGTGTCTCTTCTTCCCCATCAGACAGCATTTCTCAAACTTTGTGGAAAATACGAACACCCTTACATTTTTTGGCTCATCTATCTTTGTCTGATTTCTTCCTACCCTCTCTGCAGGGATCTGAGCAGCAGGGGAGACTTCTTAGGCTTTTTAAAATGAGGCTTTTGCTGACACTTCACAATTGCTTATTCACCCTTTCACCTTACGCTTAACCCTTTCACCAACCCAGCTTTGGGTTGAGTTGGTAATGCATGGCACTGTGGGTCACTGGGCTCTGTATCAGGACCTGATCTATCAAGAAGGGGTAATTCAGACCTCCCCCAGCCAGTTCTGTGCTTTCTGGTTGCTGCACCTGGGAGCTGAGCTGAGATGACTGGCAAGTGCGCTTGGCATTTGCTTGGCAGTTCATAGTAATCTGCAGGTGCTGCAAAATGCAGATGGGACCAGCAAAAGACAGGACACTGGACTGTATGGATTTTCACATGTACTGCTCTTAAAGCCCAACGTTTCCATGGCCTGATCGACCAAAGGCATACTTCAGTGTGCTACAAAAGCCCCCTGCAGCTTTCTCAAGTACTCTTATTTCCTTTCCAAGGTGCTTCTATCCTGCAATGCCGAGGTTTGTCAGAATACAGAGTTGCGCTGCTAAGCCTATTTTATTTTTTTTACTAGGTCTGTCATCCTAATAAATACAACCCTTTCAAGTACTGAAAGTATAAGAACCCCAGTTTATAGTAGGAAAATTGTATCTGATAATTGCAAAGGATTTCTGGTAATGACAAAAGTACGTGCTGGTTCTTTGAGTGATTCTTGTTAGCTATGCAAGTCCTGAATAATACTAAAAAAAATACCATGGGTAATTAAATCAAAAAGATCACTGACTATTCAATTACATACACAGGTTTGTGGGTTTAGCTTATTGTGTTCTCAGTAGCAGAAGGCGGCAGGTGTTTGACACTCAACATTCCTCTACTGAGAAAGAAATGCATTTGAATTTCTGCTTTGTTTGTTCTTGAAGTAAACACCGATGTAGAGGTAATTCACTAAATTACATCAGTTTTAATTTCTCTTTCTCTAGGTTAGTAAGGAAAACAGAAACAGCATTTTGCAAGACATCTTGGCAGCTGTGGAATCCTGCAGAAAATGAAGACCTTGCCTGTAAACACTGAAGCTTTTATTTTTACAAAACATTACAACATTTTGCAGATGTTTTAGAGTCTCTCCTTCCTGCTTTAGCCTCTGGAAGCTTTACTGAACCCTTCAGGGTAAGCACGGTAAAGCTGGTAACACTCTAAAATGTGAAAATGAGAGAGCAGGGTTCTTGTTGATTCAGTTCACAAGGCAATCCATTAACAAACTTGAAGAGATGCGTAGTTAGCATCTAAGTCTAATCTGGGCATTTGAAAGTTTGGTGGCCTGACTCCGATCCTAGTTACACCATGTAAAAGCAATTAACTGCCAAATCTGCTTGCGATTTTAGTCTTTCAGGGCGTGGTGTAGACCGTTCTGCCTGGAGAGCAATTCAGTATCTGGAACTTAGCCTTGGTGTCTCAGAACGGAACCCTGCCCAAAATGGATGTGTGCTCTGCCTGCTTTACCTAGAAATATCTTTGCTGTCAGTGACCCAGCTTAGATGTGTCCCAGTGTGTTTGAGCACAGGCGCTGACAATTCATGGGGTAGAAGGGATAAGCAGATGTTCTTGCCCTACCCTCAGACACTTCTTTTTCCAGTTGAAGTATTAGAAGAGTTATCTAGGATTTCAAGGAAATTGCCTGTAGTCCCAAGTGACATTACAGAATTCCACTTGAGGAGGAGAAATAACCAAGTCTGCCCTCTCCTGAGTGGCCCAGAAAGTAGTTGATAAGAGGGCTGCGTTTTGGGTTTATTTTCAAGTTTCTGATGGTAATTCTGCCTCACACCCCCTTAAAAATTATATATATAAATCATCAAGTCCATGAAGTTCAGTCAAATCTTGACTTGTGTTTTTCAAGCAGAGTTTATTAAGCCAGGAGTGACTTAATACTGCATTGGTCTATATGGGTTTTACAAACTGTTATGTTTACTGATACTTTTTGTTTGATTGAGGTTTTTCCCGTATTCAATTCTGTACATGCTGAATGGTTAATTGTGAATAAGTGTTTGAGAGTATCAGACAATGTGTTTCCCTATGAGGTGTGCAAATATGTTCAGGAAAACTGCTACCATTTCATCAGTTTTGCATGTTGTGAAACAGAATTCCCTCCCAGGTGCACCCTTGTTCATTGGATGATTTATATTCATCTCTAGCTGTAAAAAGCTGTTAAGAATTCAGTTGTCTTTAAACTTTTTTCTGTTCAGTTTCACAACCTTTCAAATGAGCAAACTATTTAAAAGCATTTTCAAATATAATTTTAGTTATTATTTCTGTAAAACTGACACCCAAAGTTGTAGAGGGCTGGATGCAGACAGGCATTTTTACAGGTGCCCTGGAAACAGTTGTGAGCATGGAGGGAACATCTTTTCTCTTTCCTATATTCAGAATGCCCCTCCACAGAAGGTAGGAGGTCCATGTTAAAAGATGCCATGGCCTTGTTCCCTGACTACCATTCTCCCCAGATCCATTTGGATGGTAGTGTTGTCTTCATCTGTTTGGGAAAAAGAGGATTCCTCTCAGGGCCCCTCTCCTTTGCAGATGTATAGCTTTTGGCTGTTTTTTGCAAAATAAGGCTATGTCCTGAAAGTATCACTAATCCCTAAATTACGTCCGGCATCTCACTCAGTCAGGCCACCTTGTTAGAGGTGAAGGACCTGGGACCAGAGGAAACTTTTTCAAGGCTACATGCCATAGACTTGAACAGAAACCTCTCTGCTCTTCAGTGCTGGATGTCTTACTGTTTCAGTGTTAAATTTCTTAAGCTGTAAAATATGCTGCAAAAGAATAGTTCTTTCAGCAATTAAATAATTACTCAAAAGTCTAGCAAGGTTTTAGTGGGACTGCAGTTGAGTCTGAAATGAAGACTGACCTTTAAAGCTAAATAAAATGGAGATATTTGACACTTCTCTGTAGAGGCTGGGCAGGGGAGCTCTTTCAGGATTGATGGCAGAGTTGTTTTCCAAATTTCAGTTCAGCCAGTATTGTTGGGAGTTCCATCACTTTAAGTGGTATTTGTTCCTCATAAAAATAGATCTATTGCCCTGCATATAGTGCCATGATGCCTACTGTAGTCCCATCATTTAATAGACTGGGAAGAAAAAAAAAGAAAAAAGACTTACAACAAATTTTAAGCCATTATCTCACGGTGCAGTGAAGACCTTTTGTAGTGAGGGTAGTCAGTCATTAGAAAAACTTCCAAAATGGAGGTGGATTTTTCCCTCACTGGAACTGTGAGTGAAGCATCAGCCCTTTTAAATCAAAGGGTATTTTTGCTACTGACGTCAGTGGCTCTTGCTTTCTGCCACCTATCTCAAGATTTGTGAGAGTGTCTAATTTGTTGTGTTTCTTTTTTTAAAGCCCATCTTCTCTCTGAGCTACAGAGTGCTTTTCAAGAGAAATAAAGAGAAATTTTGTGGTGTGTATTCAGCAGGAGATCCCAGATGACCTTACTAGTCACGTCTGGCCTTTAAATCTGAGACAGTCCTGAAGAAACTATTTGCCTGATTCAAATATACATCAAGTGAGTGAGAAAGTAGTATTTCCAACTGAATTGAGTTTTTATGACACCCTGTGTTTACTTTAGAGGTAAAAAACTTATTGTCTGGTCTTGCACTAGTAAAATATTTGGAAGGCCTTGAGAGCACTGTAACAACAAACAGAGCATTCACAATTCCCCTGATGGGCAGATTTTCCTAATAGCACACATTTGGTGAAAATAACCTCTGATGTAGCAGCGAGATTCCAGATGACAACGTTAGTGCACCTGCAGGTTTTAATTGGTGCAAAAAAGGGGAGAATATAAGGCATCAATTACTCTCTCGAAGCTGGAGAATTGAGGATTTTTTGGCAAGGAGGCTTGTAATTCCAACATAAAATTGTGCACAGCATGGAATAAACAGGCCTGCATTATTTATCATGCATTAGACAATTTTTTGACTTGTAAAACCCTGAGAAGGCTGAATGAGAGGTGGATCTTTAACACTGGACCTACTGCAAAGTTAATTATAAGTAGTATGTCTGTCTTGCAGATTTAAGGATGTACAAGCACAAGTGAAACATTGTAATTAAATACCAGCTCCTGATCCAAGGAATAATCTAAATATGGCAATAATTGTGTAGTTAAAAAATATGCATTGATGGGAAGATGATTATTACATGCTGGAGAATTTCGCTGGTAATTCTAATCTTCTAAAATGAGCTGCACAAAATTCAGCTAATCTTTAACTTAAATTCCCCAGCAACAGAAGCGCAGTCAGTTGGTAGGTTGCAGCCAAATGCAGATGACATTTCTTGCTTTATTTTAATAAATAATAAAATGTTGTTGGTTTGTTGTTTTTTTTAAAAGAAGCTGTGAATGACATTGCAGAGACTCCTAAGAACTTAATAGTTTCAGAATGTTACTCATAGCCATTAAGAGTTATCTGGCCGTCTTGTCAGGGGAAAAATACTCACAGTGGTAAGTCCTTTTTGTTAACATTTGTTTTAAATGCATTGAATGCCAAGACTTTCTGTCTCTGGGAGTGAGGTGAGACTTCTCAATGAGAACTGCATTTCCTCGCATAGAAGGAGTTTGTATGACACTTCAAAGTGGAGGGACCAGCAGGACCTCCAGCATTTCTGTTTTGGGACGAATGGCAGAGACCTTTGTACATCGCACCCATCGCTGTTTCTTACCTGCTGGCTGTGGTGGGAAATGGCTGGGCCAAATGCCAGGCTTGGGGCTTGCCAGTGTACCTGTGGGTTGGAGCAGTGCAGGAGCCTGTGATTGGCTTTTGTAAAATGCTACTAAAAATCTTTTTATCAGATCTTCAGGCCATGCTTCACCCTTAGGAGTGCAGCTCCAGGCTTTTACTGTATAATGTAAACAAGAGCCTATTAGGGAAAGGAAAGTTTAGGAAAACAAAATGGGAGGCAGGGAAATTATCCTACATTTAATGCAAGGGCTGAAGTACTGTATGTTTATGTTACCGTATACTCATTATCCTCCTCCCTGTAGCCTGCTGTACTGTGTGTTCCGCTCTGGTTGTGAGAGCCTTGCTGAGTCCTTGTGGTTAAAAATCCATCCTGATGTTTCTCTTCAATGGTGATGTTATCTGGGGTTAAGCTGGAGGAACAGATAGGGCCTTCATCTCTGCACTTCTCCTGGCATCTCTCTGAAAAAACTGCATGTACCAAGTGCTCTTGTGGGCTGAGTGCTTGATTTCCTCAAAGGATGCATTGGTCAGCCTGCTGATGGGACGGGAGCGTCACCGCTTTCTGGCTGTAGAAACAAGAAGGTTCTGGGCTGACTGAACGAGCATTGGGCAGGTTTCTGCCTTCATCCCCTGCAGAGTAAGTGGCCTCTGAAGCTCTGGAAAAATTATAGCACCTGAATCTTCCAAACTGACACAAAAGGGAACTGCATATAACAGGTACTTAGGTGTTGGTGGTGGGCATCCTTCATGCATCACAGCTGTGGTGAGATGTGTAATGTAGGCAAATTGTTCAGCCTGAGCAACTTCAGGGCCCAGTTTTAACAGCAATGCTATGCACTGTGAAACCTGTCATCAGTGCCACAGCTGACTTAAAAGTGACAAGAAGTGACAATGTCTCCCTTGTATTTGATAGGGTCTAAGCTGGGTCTAATCAATACAACCTTGTATCTAGTTCCAGGTTTTCTGTCTAACCATATCTGATTATTCTGGAGGATTGGCCCATATTTAAAAACACTGTGTACAGCAGTAGTCTTAATAGCGTCAGACTGTCTCCCAGATTATGGAGACATGTAACATCTGAGAGAGTTTGCTGTCATCCTGGAGCGATTTTATTTTAATTTTTTTTTTTGGTCTTAGTTACTTATATAATGGTCACTCTTGGGTTTTTTGCAACCCACCATGCTACCATAACACCTTTAAAGCTAAAGAAAAGCCGTGTAAGACATGGCCACTAAAAGAACTAACTTTTGAATCTTACCTTCACTCTTGCTCTGTCATGCTTGTGTGCTGTGCTTGGAGTTAGGCCATGCCTTTGCTGGTAGCCATCCTATGCAGCAGGAGGCTGGGCTTCATGACACACAGCTGTCCCCACGGAGTTGTCCTCCAGGGACCAGTGGCTTGAACTGAATCACAAAGTGAGGCAGCTGCATTTGCTTAGGGTCTAATACCAGAAAGCATGGAGATTAGGTAGAGTCTCTTATAGAAGATGAAGGTGGTGTTGCTAAGCAGGTCCAGCAGCTTCCTGCTGGAAGGATTTATGCAGCTGCTTCCCAGTTGGGTTTAGTATGCTTGAGTTGGATACATAGAATAATTTAGGTTGATTTGGACTGCTGCAGTTACTTATTTTTGATGGAAATTAATTCAAACTGGAATTCCGTTTTCTCTTCCACATCACACCTGGATGCTGAAAGAGACACCAAGTAGGGCCTAAACTGCCCTGATGACCATGTGTCTCAGGGGGCTGTACATTAATAGTCTGCTTTTGCCCTTGCAAACATGAGCAGAATTTTGTCTAGGTTGTGCTGAGCTTTATAAATAATCAATTCATCAAGATCCGAGGTGAAAGAACAGCAATAGATTTCTCAATTTCATAAGGCAGAAAGCAAGTGAAGACAATTCAGAATAAAAAAAAAAAAGAAAACCCAAAAACTGCTGCCACACAAAAGATACTTGGATCATTTTATTTTCACTAGGTGTTCATTTAGTTCTACTACTTGTAGTCTTAAGTGTGGCACAGTAGGAAGCTTAGAATGCAACTGTGTATTGCCTAACAGTAATGACACTTAGCTACAGCATCTCTTCTTAAATCTTTCTTGTTAATTGGGACAAGACAGCCTGGCTGCACATCATTGTGTTGAGAATTAGAAACAATCCATGTTAGTTACAGTAAAGAGGAACAGCAAGACACTGATAGCTGCATTTTTTTAATTAAAAAAAAAAAAAGAATGAGGAGAACACGCGCATGTGTGTTTAGATGTTATAGTAGAGGATTTGTTGTAGCCTTTTTGGCTTCCAAAATAGTCATGCATTCCTGTAAATCAGTGTTTCTCAAACTCTGTGAAGGCACAAGAGGCCTCCCTTTTTGCTTCATCTGTCTTTATGCAACTATTAAATTGGCAGCAACTCCATTTCTCTAGGGGACGGAAATCAGAAGGCTCAGTAATTACTGGCTACAAGTGTTTATGGACACTGAGCCTGCGTCCAGCAATTAAAGGCATTTAGCTGTTCCCTTCCTAATACAAACACTTCCAGACAATAATTATAGCCTGCTTTGCACTTTCCTGTCCTTAAGGAGGATTCCTGTGGGCCCTTTTGCAACTCCCAAGGGGGTCGTTGCCTGGAATTTGAGAAACACTACTGTAAACCAAACAGGAGCATGAGATAATACCTAAGAGCAGCCGTTTATGCAAAGCTGCTTTCTTTGCAAATAAGGTGCACCATATGCTTTGAAGGCTTTCCATGCACTGGATACTTTCTTTTCTCACACTTGATTTTTGTTAATGTGTGTAGCATGGCTTGTTCACACAATATTTCAGTATGGCTGCATGCAGTATATCGATCTGTGATACTATGTTGCTATTCAGAATTACCACCTGCATAACATGTTAAAGAAAAGCAAAAGATTTGCTGTTGGAAAAAGGAAATCAGATTTAGCTCTAATGTTACAGAACCTGTCGTACTCCCCTTTTATGTATTCATCGCTTCTGTTCAATGCTTTTGCTGTATGTTATATATCAAATGCCAATTAGTTTGCATGCAATCAGCTGTTTAGTTATGGCAGGAAAGAGATATCTTGTGTGCTTTTCACTGAGTTGTATTAATATTTCCCACCGTATTCATTTGTGACTCCAACCTTTCCAGAGGAAGGAACGTTAAACAGGTTGTATCCATTGCTCTGGGATTTACAAGAACCTGAGATGAAGTGGCACTGTGTGTTTTGTAGGACAACTTCCAACCCTACCCATGCCAAGGCCTTTAGCTGAAGAACACCTGCCTTGTAGTATTCTTGTGTAGAAGGTAGAAAAATAAACATTTGGAGGTTGCTTGTTACATTTGAAAGAACCTAAACCCAGGTGCAGCTCCCTGACCTAACTCTGTCTTTAACTCTAAGCAGCACGTGGCCCTTTTGCGAGGAATGCTCCTTACTGCTCCTCGGACAGGCTTTGCTGAGAAGTGGTGTCTTCCAGGGCCATATCTTCTTGGCTGGCCCTTCTGCATTCCAGGTTCTGACTGAGGAATATGGCATGGGCTGGACCTGCCTCTCGCCGCGGTCTGGGTTCTGTAGTGTCGGTGGCTTCACAGGTCTCAGTGACTTGCTGGAAAGAAGAAAGAAAGAAAGAAAGAGTCAGCTAGTTTGGGAAATTTGTAAGTAACGCTTCAGCTATTTTTTGAAGTGACAGGTGAAAAAAGTTAGTCATGTCATTCTGTGAAACTGCATGGGATTCTTAACATGCATTATTCACAAAGGATTTTGGAAGAGTTACTTGTCACACTTCGTGTAATGCATAAATTTGGAAAGAAAAGCAGACCAAGAGCTAGAGGTTTAGTACCACAGATGTACATGAATAGAGAGCTGTAAAATAATTTGGACTGAAAAGGACTTCTGGAGGTCATCCAGTCCAAACCACTGCTCCAAGCAGGGCTGACTCAGAAGTTAAATCAGGTTCCTCTGGGGCTTGCTTTATATACCAGATTTTAAATCCAGCTTACAAAGAAACCTTTTCACCAAAACTGGAATGCAATTACCAGTCTGAAAATGCTATGCGCAGTGTCACCCCACTGTAAGGAGTCCGGTAATGTAAAAGCTTTCTAGAACTGTGCTGGATACACTAAGACTACATTTAACCACGTAGCCTTAGTAGATCATCTAGGCTGTGAATGGTAGGCAGAGAGTGTCCCAGGAGAGGATTTCTCCCTGACAGCTCTAAGGATTAAGTGGATGGTCTTCTCCACTGAATACAGAGGCCACACCAACAATCTAGTGAGACTTCATGCCCAGTTTTTAGATGGCTTCAAGTTAGACGAGGTGGGTTGTACTATTAGTACTCAGGATTGCGGACTGGCTGAGTTCTTGCAAATTAGGCTATAAACTCTTGAGAGTTGGAATGGTGCCTTGTCATCTGATATGTTCAGCTGTACCTATAGAAATATTATTAATGCTCATTGGAGTAATAAAGCAGGATTGGACCCAGATGAATAACGTTCTGTTGAAGTTCACTGCCAAACTCCAGGGAACTATACCATACATGGTATTTCTGGGTTGAGAGCAAAGTACACACAGGCTAAGGAACTTTTTTCACTTGAGGTTTAGAGAATTCATTGAAAATTAGGGAAGTTACACACAGTTCAGAATTACAGTACCAGAAAAATGTTTTGCATTTTCCCTATGACAGTCTTCCCCTGTTGCAAGTTTGGTTTCCATCTTGATAGGCCCAATGTAAAAGTCTGCCTTAATTATGTTGCCACTCAATCTCTAGTTGCAGTTGCCCTTGATCTCTAGTCCATCTCCTCACGTTACTGCTCTGTAGTGCTGAGGTAAAAGTTTCAAAATTCAGGAATGCAATCGATGGCAACTGAAGTTAAATAAATATACTTAAGGAGACAATAAAACAGTAACACTATTATGTGCATTGAATTTTCCAGGGGAGATGGGAATAGAACTGGGAGCCTACTGAGAAGGGGGCTGGAAATTCTTTGAGTGAACTGTTCTGCTGTTAGAAAATGCTGCATCACAGGGCGTGCAGGTTTCCTTTGGGAGATACTGCCCCCAGACTTCCTTTGACCCTTCCAGCAACAAGGGTTTCAGGTCCCGGATTGAATTTCTGGTCAGAGGGAAGGACAGAGCAAGTGCACTGTTCAGTGGGAACCGTTCCTCTGCAAATAATTGTTCCCTTGTACAAATAATGCAGTCCTGCGTAAGCAAGCGAGGAAGGAGCTCTTTAGTCTGCTTATGAGGGTACTTATTACCTGGGCTGCAGAAAATGGAGACCTAAAGCCCTTGTCTGAATGAAAGGAACTGAGCTTTGCTCCAGTTTGCAATTTCAGGTGTGTGCTTAACAGCCAACCTGTCAATTACAAATACGTCACTCTCATATACACACTAACATTAAACAGTCTGATTTTCATTGTGATGCAGCAAAATTCACAACAAATACCAAAACCCTGACATTGTTTTGGAAAAGACTACTGTGAAGGAAGAAAACCAGCGGTGGTGAGGACAGTTCAAGAACCTGACAGGAGAGCAGTACAGTAGCTCGCACTTAGCACTGCTATTTTGGCTTCAGCCTTACCCGAGCTGCTTGAGTTGCTGCTCTAGCGGATGGACCCATGGCGATATTCATGCTGCTGGATGACTGGGTGTCACTGGTGTTACCTCCGTCTGCAGCTGAGAGCCCAGAAATCACCAAAGCACTTGAAAAACTCCTCTTGCCGAAGAGCAGGCTGAGAGTTGAGCTGGTGGAAGAGGCCAGGCTGGACCGGAGCATTGCTGCAGCTCGGTCCTGCACAGTCAGCTGGCCCGCAACAGGGGCGGCAGGGGACTGGGAGAACACAGATGTTGCCGAATTGTGGAATGACAGCTGACTACTAGAAAGCCTTTGGGCAATTTCATGGGCAGATGTAGATGTTTGGATGAAAGGCTGGCGGCTTTCTGCAATTGGTCCAGAGTGACTTGAAGCAGGGGGCCTTTGGTTTAAAGCGGTGTGTGCCTGGACAGACTGACTCCTGGGTTTTCTCCTGCCTTTAAAAGAAAGAGTAATGCGTTTAAATAACTAAGTGGCGTCCTGATGAACTCCATGCTATTGACAGTGTCCCCAATATTACTATTGGTTTTATCAGCATAAGAATCCCCAAAATAACAGAAATAACAAATTACTGAACCTATCAACGTTTCTGGTTTTTGGTCAGAATAGCTCTAGTGGTTCTGCACTGGGTCAAAAAGGAGGAAAATGGAAAGACATCCCAAGGAAAGCACTCTAATCACGGCTCACACCTAGTCTGTCGAGGACATTTTAACCTGCCCAGTGAATGCTTGAGCATGGCGTTGATATAACTCCACTCCCCTTTGACAACCACGCTAAAGTAGGGGATGCTTAATATCCACCTTAAAAGGCTTGGTATAATTAAATGCAAAAATAAAACCAAAAAACTGTGAGTTAAAACAATGGTGCATTAAAAAGAATTATTCCTGCATATGGGGAAAGAGAATTTTAGAAGTCAATCAAGTGGAAGACTACAGCATTCAAGCCATAAGACAGTTCTTAGGACTAATATTAAGCTACATCTGAGTTCCAAGGGTGATATTTGCAGTATATCACAGATGTGAACACCTCTAGTAAGGGTAGTCTACTGGAGGTCTGAATGAAATCTATATAAGGCTTTTGCCCCATTCTGTGAAGCATCTCAATGCAGCCACTGTTGGATGCAGAGTAGATGAACCATTCTGACATGCCTAACTTGATAGTTTCCTGTCCATATACACCCCCATTTTTAACCTTTATATCAACACCTTATGGTATTCAAACAAGTGATTTCTGTATGTATTATGCTTGCATATTTTAAAAGGCATAGAAAGAAAAATGATTTAATCAACTTGTTGGCCAGTGAACTCACCAGATACCTGCATGCACCCAGGCACCCTGCAAATGGGCACAGCTGGCTGGTACACACCACAGGCCCTGGAAGTTTATGGCTTCTGCAGACAGGCTCTAACCCAGGCTTTTACAGCAAGTACCCAGTCATACCAGTGCCTACTTGGCTTTTTTTTGCTTTGCAGGAAACTCCAGACATTAACACAAACTGGCATTTTGATTTCCAAGCTATAGCTGTGAGGTAGGGACTTGATGCCAGCAAATCTGTTGAGAGCCATCAACACAGAGTTCTGCTGGCAGGCATTTTCAGGTTGTTGGGAATTCTTTTTGCGTTGTTTTTTTCCCAGTACCCCAACTATGAAGGGGAGGGAAGCACTGAAACTCCTCCAGATACTGAAATTTTGCAGGCATAAAGGAATATGAATCTCACACTATCTTCTAGAAACATGACTGTTTGCTGAATTCATGAGCGTTCTAGTAACGCAAAATTTCATATCCAAACTATTTACATTATATAGCTGAAACATGCTGTTTTACCTACACAGACCTGCGTTCCAGAGGCTGATACCAATAGCTCCATTTTACAGATGCTGCAGTGAAGAGAATTTAGGTAACTTGGCACAGAGACAGATGGCAGAGCTGGGCCACAAGTGAACTGGAGCTCTTTAGCTGGACTAAAACCTAGTTGGTTTGGCAAGCACTGGACGCTTTCACACTCCACTTGCACTGTACCTTTAGTTCTATACTCCAAACAATAAAAAATAATAATTTCCCTAAGATGGCATGCAAAGCAGCATTCTGCCAGCGTCCTCTGCACTCCAGACACGATTGATAGGGAGGGCACGCACAACGATGAGGGCCAGGCTTGGCTGCCGCACTGGCAGCCTCCACTGGGATTCAGCTTCTTCAAACTCTGCGGTTTTGTTTAAGTGCTTTGGTTTCTACATCTGATGGTTATTTTAATATGTTCCCCTTTTAAATAAAAAGAACAAGCTAGAATTAAGAACAGAGGGGCCGCGGTGTGTTTGTGCAGGGGCTAACGTGGCCAAACATCTGTTTGGGATTTAAACTGCCAAGCTGACCCCTGTCCAAAAGTATTCTATATTCATCCCGAATGCAGTGGTTAGAGCATTGGACAGGAGACCACCCACAACTGCACATAAATAACTCTGTCCTTGAAAACACGTGGGAAACAAAGGCTGCTCTACAAACTGCATCATGAAATAAGGACACTTTAGAGGAGAACCGCACACGTTTCCAATGCTCCCAATTTTCATCGCACTTTTATATAGGGCTTTCATTGCATTTTGCAGACTCTTTGGTACCAGGCTGCAAAATGAAATATGAAATATGAAAACATTAAATGCACTTTATTCATAGATTATGAGTCTAGAAGGGATTGTTGTGATCATCTACTCAGCTGTGCTACAGAGCATAGGCCATAGAGCTTCCTGGAATCAATTCCTCTATGGTCTTACTAAATACAGCGATTATTTTTAAGAAATGCACCCAATATCTCCAGTCATGCAGAATCCATCTTAACCCTTAGTCACTTGTTTCACTGTTTTTTTAAAATCTCACTGTTAAAAACATGCACTTGATTTCAAATCTGAATTTATTTAGATACCGGGACACTTTGTTATATCCGAGTCTGCTTGAATCAACTGTCTGGTCACCATTTGTTGCCCAGGTAAATACTTACAGACTATGATCAAAGCATCTTTTCCAACACAGATTGTTTGAAAGCTCTTAATCTTTCATTACAGAATGTATTTCCCAGATCTTTGATCATTTTTTGACTCTTCTTTGAACTCCTTCCACATAAAAAAAATGTCCTTCTTAAATGAGGGCACTAGGACTGTGCGCAGTAGGCCAGCAGTGTCCTGAACCCAAGTCAGAGTGACAGCCACGCATTACCCAGGTCACCCTCTTCATTCTGCTTTTTTAAGAACAGGCATAGCATTCTTTCCCAGTCCTCTGGTACTGCCTTAGTGTCCTGATACTTACTGAAGATCAGAGCTTACTTTTTAACCAGTTCTCTTAAAAACCTTCTTGAATGATAATAATTTAATTTGCTTAATTAAGCAGATAGCTTTGATAGCCACTTTTTCATGTCCTTTGTAGCTGTTGGGATGGAACTACTTCATGATCAGATCATAGAAACAGACCATCTGCATTTCCCCCCAATACAGACCAGTCAATGCTTTTCTCATTTCTACCTTATTGGCCACTCTGCCTTTCTACGTAGTGAGGGATCGAGACACTGTTAGGATTTCTTTGCTTCTAATATTCTTTAAAAATAAACAACCTATTTTTGTCCCTAATGACACTAGCCAGAAATTTCTCCTGATTTCATTCTTTCTCTCTCTTATCAACAGTCTCTCAGGACTGGATACTAATTTGCATTTGCTATTTTCCACTTCCTTGCATTTGTTGTGCATTTCACCTCAAAGCCAGGTTGCTTTTCTTAACCTTCTCTCTTGATTGTGGTTTTCTGGGCACCCAGTACGTTCTCTTAAACAACTCAAAATTAACTTTCATTCTTGTATGACACGCTCAGGATCATTATTTTACAATTAAGTTTGCCATTTTGATTACTGCAGTGTCAAGTTATGAGTATGCACATGGGGATTCCTCTAGCACTAGACTCAATTACGAACAGCAGTTATTTTACTCTTACAACATGATTTATATTCAGGGCAAGATTTTCTCCAGTCCTGTCCATTATCTTTAATGATAGGTCAAAATGATCTAATGGGAAACAAACAAGTGCCGTACCCCTCTAATTCTCTGCTTTAATTTATACAGCAATACCACAACTTGTTGGAAGGTTTAGTTAATTGGCTTTACATTACAAGTCCTGATCCCACAGTGGTGGGTCTGACAGTGACCCACTGCCAAACTTAATGTATATTTCCAAAGTGAAGGCCAGTAGTTCTACCTTGTGAATATGACTGAAGTGCTTTTGAATCCATAATTTAATATGAGAAGGGCTCAGCTCTTAGTTGACCGAATGATTTGCAACATTTAAATTTCTCCTGGTAACTGCTGTATACATGCAAGAAGTTATTTCCTATCTGTTCGTACTCCACATGCACTGATGAACAGCCAAACCAATTCCTCAAATAAATCATTGTGGCCCTTCCAAGATAATTAAGATTTTTGCATACTTTCACTTCTGCTGTTCCCAGCCAACAAGAACCACAGATTCACTGTGGGCATCGTACATGGAGGCTTCCTCCCATATGCACTTCTCATTCTGGCATCGTGAGTGGCACCTCCTAGTCCAGAAGTCACACATAAAGGAGTCTGACAGTGGAACCTTTGGTGAATCACATCTGTCTTCTACCTTCCCAGGAAATACCTGGGGCAATATCAGGAAACCATCTCCTACATGTGCTTGGTGATTAGGAAAGACAAAAAGCTCTCTCCTTCTAAAATAAGTTTTCCACTGGACGTGAGCATGCCCCAAAGGCATCTGCCTGCACGGCACCTCAGGAGAAGACTAGCAAAAAAGCCAAGTAAATTGTGCAAATACCTGCACGCTGGTGGACCTCTTGAGACAAAGCTTGCAGCTGAGGGGTTCCATCTCTGGTAGGCTGCGAGCTGCTGCTCTGGCTTGAATTGCCTGTGGAGTTGCTGCTAGACGAAGACCCCCCTCCACTGTCCGCCTCTTCAACGTTACCTCTCTCGTGGTGAGCTGCATGGCAGTCCTTCCGCATCCTGTGTGTGGGAACACACATGTGCTCAGCCGTTCATTATGCATGAAAATTTGAGCCACCAATGTTACGTGCCCTCAAAATGTGTAACTGTACTCTCTCATACTGCTGCAAGTCTTCTGACATTTCATGAGATGACAAAGATGATGATGTGGTAAGCTTACTTGGAACAAAATTGTATATGACACAAATCTTTGTCTGTGTTAAGTGGCTTCGGAGCCTTCCAAGACCTTTGGACTCTCTATCTAATGTTACAGTGATCTCTAAAGATCAACTATTGCATGAGGTAACCAAGTAGCAAAGAAGAGGAATGGGCTGGAGGGAGCTCAGTGGGAACAAGCTGCGTGGTGGGAAACTAGCATGGTAAACCACTAATCTTGGCATTTTAGCACAGGTCTCAGCATGCAAGCTGTCTACCGTAGTCTCTTCATGGTCCCCTGCCTCTCCTCAGCCACAGTAGTGATAGGGCAGGTGGAGGGAATGAAACAAGAGTGAGTTATTGCTGCATGAAAAGTACATTCAGGAGTGAGAGGTGGAACGTGTCAGGTACTGATCATGGATACACAGGGGAAGTCGGGCCCTTTTGGTCAGTAGTAAGTACATTTTTAGATATGTTTCGGTCAAGAACAATAACCTGGGGATGATCATCTATGCTGCCAAAGCTTTGGAGCATAACCCACCATAACTCATCAACACATTTACTAATGTTCTGACATTTCACTGAGTTACAGAAAAGATACTCTTACTTACAAGGCTTAAACAGCAAAATTCCCTGGAATAAGGGAAATGTCTGTAGTGCTAAGTGGTTTGATAATGAGTCTTGTTGACATGTAGAAACCTTTGCTTAAAAGCCATGGATGAGTTAATGAATTTGCTCTCTGCACTATCTGTAGGGCTATTATGTTATATTTTGAGTTATTTGCAGTTAATATTTTACTCATAGGTAACAGTACAGAATTATTCTCTTATAACAGAAAATACAGTGGAGCTGAAACTGCAGAGTCTCTATCATCATAGCCAAAATTTAACGCCTACCTTAGCCATTTGGATCTGAACCATTTTGTAATGTTGTCCAAACTGACAGGTCCCCCCCAGATGTTCCTCAGTTGGCTGTGTGTCCCAAGGTACGAGGTGGTTAAAGGGGAAACGTACATTGGGTATCCCAGTGGCTGATCACACGAAGAATTAATTAAGTTCCGCAAGACCTGTTTATTGTTCTGGATGCTTCCTCTCTCTGGGTTGCGATTGCGTAAGAAAATCAGTTCCTGCTGCTGTCCGGCCCAGAGCCCTCTGACGCACTCCTTGTTGACCTGCAAGCAGGTTAAGAACATGTGGATCATGTGAAAACGTCTGCTACTTATGCAGAACTACACGATCCAGGCAGAACGGCAATGGCCGAGTGTGCAAACACCTCATGCCTTTGCACCAACAGGTTTTACAAACTTTTGCAGCTACTCCCTGGTAAAGCCTAGGATGTTATTTCAGATACAGAAATGTATGGGTGCAAAATGGAAGTCGACTGAAGAGAGCTCTTCTAGCCTCTAATCCCTACTCTGATAACTACAATCAACCTCTCCTTTTGATTACACAGAAACAGTATTAATTCTCACAGCCCTAAATTACTGCGATATTAAAAAGATGGTGTATGTACCTTGATAACCTTGAAGCTCAAGTAGCTTTTGTGGAGCATGATAACTTTATATTCATCTGCTCCTTCATCTACCACGTGTCTCAGGGTCAGCAGCTCCTCTCTGTTGGAGAGCACAGCGCTGCGCCAGGCTGGGTCTCCTTCGTGACAAATAACCACCTTTTCTTCAAAAGATTGAATTGCTTCATACAAAACTGCTGGGTCCTCATACTCATCTGGGCAGGTGAACTGGTCCTGGTAGTACAGGAAAAAGTATTGAACAGGTCAGGTATATTTGTGAAAACACAAAAACTATTAACAATAAAGAAAATCCTTGTTTTCAAACAGTTGCCAGCTGACCCCCGAAGTGACTTGCCATTTGATACTGTGTGTCTTTGGGGAGGTAGAGCAATTCATTTAACAGTAACACAGAAAGGTTTGATTTTTGTTCTGTTGTAACCTATTCTGATCTCTTTTCTACACTGGACAAAGACACTCGGAGAATGCCAACGTACCCACTTCCTTTTTTATAAAGTGGGAAACCATGGGAGACAGAGCTTTTGGGTAAGCCGGAGGAAGATCAGAATCACGTGGGGCATTCCACAGTTTTTGTGGAAATCCTTATTTTTATTCATGTAAAACCACCACCAAAAGCACAGCCTGGGAATCCATCAGCAGATACCACAATGCTGTGTTGCTACTTTAGCTGTCACGCAGCAGCATGGCCAGTGATAACATTCATAAAATTTTTGTGTCAAAATCTCGGATATTAATTCACAGCAGTTCCACTTCAGTTCCATTCAGAGCAATTACAAACGTCATGCACGATAAAAGCATATGATGCTAAATCATAGCATGCCAAAGCAAGAACAAAATCAACTCCAAGCTACACAAGGGTTGACCTGAAGAAATTGAAATTATTTCAGTGGAAATGTGACAGATTTTTACAACTGAAAACAGAATGGGGTCAGAAACAGCCTGATGTAATGAAACAAACAGCCGTGACACTGACCCTTCAAACCACTCTCCTCTCAGCTGTGTTTTTTAACACATGGAAGCGTTACGTCTATATCACCATTCAAGAAGGGACTGATGAATTAGCAATGAAATTAGTCTAATCAATGTATTTCTTTTCAGTCTAGAAACCATCTTCATAGTATCAAAACAAGTAAAACATGACATGACTGTCAGTTTTGTTTCACTGAAAAATGCAGGTTCAAGCTGTGCAATATCAATAGTTTCAAATGGGCAGCTAGGGAGTACAGAAAAGAAGATCAAGTGGATGCAAGAAAAAAAAAGGGAAGCTTTTCCATTTTGGTTAAGGAAGTTTCTCAGAATAAGGCATCAAGTACTCCACTTCCCTCTCATTTTATTGTTGTTTTTCTTTTAGACATTTTCCAAGGTTTTCTGTGTTTCCCCAAGAAAACAGATGCAGTAGTAAAAGTTAAAAAGTAAAATTAAAAAGACTCTACCTGGTGTAGCTTCAGAGACATTCGAATTGCCGGGGCAACCACCTTATGCAACAGATCCATGTCTGCAAAGACCCACTCGTCTTTTGCTGCTATCCGAAAGTCTCCTTTGAACAGTGCATGGAGCCCATAGAGAAAAGAGTCCAAGCTGTAAGAGAAAGGCAGCGGTCACTCCCTGAGGTCATTCCCATCTCACCAAGCCAGACCCCTGCCAGCCACCACCCTCTGGCCCAGGGTGAGCTCCTGTGGAGGGTGTAAAGCAGGGGTCGCTTCACATATTTCTAGTGAGAAACCATCCTGGGGGTAGGTGGTTTTCCATGGCCATGAAACGAGTGTGGCACCTGGAATGAAGGATGTCCTAAGGATGGGTGGCTGGGTTACCAGCTGCCTCAGGGCGCTGCCTCCTCTGTGGCTGTGCCAAAGACGCCAGGTCAAAGAGTGCCAGCTGCTCTGCAATCCCTGTGCAGGCAGCAGCAGTTGCCCCCTCATTTGAAAGTTTATTCACTCTATTTATTCAATTCTATGATTCATCGGTCCCGTGACTCTTAGCAGTTCTCCTTGCAAGGTAAAATTAAACAAAAATAAAAAGATAAAAATAAACCAGCTGTAAAAAATATTTTCAGCAAACCTGAGACTTCTGTCATGAAACTCAAACCCAGATGTGAACATTAAACCTACGAAGAATACTAAGTTTCAGGAACTGTTCAGCAAGCCGGGTGAGAGCATGAATCAAACAACAGGCATTTCACACTGGAACAATGAGCCCTAAAGCAAATATGCACTGGGTTACTTTTTTCTAATATAAAAAACTAGAGGTAAATAGTTCTGCCTGAATTTGGACAGTGGTTTGCCTGGACCTGAGATTTAAGCAAGAGGTAAAAGTACAAAATCAAGTTGTTATTAGCAAATGGCTGCACGAGGGCTTTGTGAAGGGAAACAAGCAGCCTTCAGCTCCAGTCTGCACCCCAAATCATGAGCTTCCCACGACACCACAGCCACTTGTCCAGCTTATACAGCAGGACTGCCGTCCTAATGCTGCACTAAAGAAGTGATCTTGAAGTTGAGGAATACAGAGCCATCTGTTAAGAACAGGCATCTCTTGCAAACCCACAGGACATGGTTTCATCTACCTGCCAAGATTTTACTCAGTCTTGCAACAGTTGTTTTTTTTCAGATTGCAAAGGCTCTGAGGAGAAGCTGCATTAAGATGTTAGCAGTTTTCATTACTGCCCAGGCTTTCTCCAGAGAATGCATCATCTTTCCACATAATTGCGCTTTCTTAATTATTTTAGGAAAAGAAAAAAAGAAAATCTTTTGAATTTTTTCTCTTCTCCAAGAGAGGGAGACTCCTTGGCCTGTGCTCAGCTCAGACACGCTCTAATTTCACCCTTGGTAGGTAGCCTGTTTTAGAAATTAAAATTGAAAGATCTATATGTTGTTACCAGAAAAACAGCAGGATACCGACTTTCTTTGTGAAAGCACCATGTAATACAAATCAACTAATCAGTGGGACCAAGGCCAGTCAGGAAGGCAGGGCTGCTGTCACTGCTGGGAGCATGAGGAGTATGGGGAGGCTTATGTGAATTCTTGACTGATTTGCATTTATTAGTACTAAGTTACAGATGAAAACATGCCTGTGTAAGGCAGGCACTTACACTCAGATCTTCAAAACATTCACACACTGATTTCCATGGGAGTTATGATGTGTCTTCAAGGACCAAGTCTTGATCTCCACTGACTTTCAATCATCTCCACAATTTAGAGAAGTATAATATACCAAAATCCTGCTTAATAGCTAGAAAAGCTCTAGAATAAACCAGTTAGGGCAAAACAAAAAAAAAGGTGGGTGCAGCCAGTGTGGTGAAATATGTGACTAACATCTCCTTTGACAAGGCTAGAAATCAGGAAGGGTCCTTTCACTCACCCACCACTAGACAACATCCAGCATACACATCTGAATCCTTGCCTGGAAAAAAAAATGCTTCTGTATCTAAATATTCTTCCCAGGATGAAACTGAAAACAGTTCCCTGAACTCTGCACCTAATGACAGTCTGCAGTGTAGTTTTTCTCCACATAACACCCTGTGTATTTGCTCTGAAAAGTTGGCTGGGAGGAAGGGAGGAGGAAGCAGAAGAGAGAACTGTTTTTTACATCATTAGAGGCTCTCAGAGCCAAATATGAACACCAGACCAAAGAGTTTGCATTCCCATCGAAGTGTCTTATAGCCATCAGCATGGGCTAAACGGGCTGCTGTGAACACCAGGATCTGCTGAAAGCAAGGCCAGGGCTAGGACAGCTCTGCAAACTGCAGCTGAGCGTCAGCAGAGGGAGCGAAGGGAAGCATGTACAGCTCTTGCTGTGCTTCGGTAAGGAAGACTCATCCATTTCTCATCCCTCTGCATAATAAGCTCTCTAACCAGCATTTTTAAGAACAAATATGACTGCTACAAGGAGCAAAGCAGCGGTGGCAGTAGCTGTGAGAAGCTGAGTGTCAATTATTTTATATATTGTGTTTTCCACCAGAGAGGTCTGGAGGAGATTGCTGTATTCACAAAACCATGGACATCTTTTATTCTCCTGCCAATTGTAATGAGGCTTTTGGGTACATTCTGCCTGTAATGTGACACTATCTCAAGCCATTACTTCTGTAACACGCAGCCCTTAATGCACATAAGATACAGCTCTTGTTATTCTTCCCATTGTTACACTCTCTCCTGAAGCCTCTAATGAGACTACAAGGAAGCTGCGAAGCCAATGACTTTGATCTCAGACCTGACTCAAGGTTGTTGCTGCTTTTCTGGCCCAGTTTTAACACACCTCAATTAGTAATCTGCTGTAGTTGCAGGCTCATTTGAAATATTTTAGAAACTAGTTAAGGTAAATTCACATGCCAAAGGAACGACGCTAATCAGGAAGAGACATAACAACTGTTTCTGGCGACATTCCTAACCCTCTGAGCTAAGAACCTGAAAAGCTGCTGTCACAACTGCAAGCTATTTTAGAACAAGACTAGTAGGTGTGTGGGAACCACCAGCCCCTCAAATGTGCAGAAAGGAGGGGATTAAGTAGCACCACAAATACCAGAGGGAGGGCAACAGAGCCAAAGCAAACACTCCCTCCTACTTCACCCCTTATGTTGCTCCAACAGCTGAAACGAAAAGAATTTGATCCAAGCCTGAAAACAGGATGGATGAAGACTAATGAGCTGGTGAATATATCTGTGTGTACTTTACACACCAAAACCCAGCCTCTGTCTGCAGTTTGTAGACCTTTTCCAATGTTAACTGTAGATTTATTTAAGGAATAAAGCAGCATGCATGCCTGTGAGCTGGTAATGACCTGAATGTCGTAGCTCACCTGAGTAAAATATTTTCATTAGCAGCCATTCTAAATTTGCTATTTAAGATGACAGTGGTTGTGACCTAAGACTCAAACTTTTCTCCCCTGCTTCTGCTCTGGCAGACATAAAGCTGCACAAGTCTGCTTAAGCTCCCACTGTGGCACTGTGACCCATGCCCTCCGCCTCCTTCCCCTCAGATGTTGGACAGTGCAATGTGGTGCCCAGGAGGGAAGGGGCAAGTGCGGACAGTGAGATGGGACCTGAGCATCCAGGCTTGGTAGTGTTGGAAGGATCTGATGAGAGTTGCTTTAAGAGTTAAAGTTTTTCCAGATTTGAAATGTATACTAAACATTTATTTGCTAGTAGGACTAGTGGCTAAATAGGATTATTAAGTAATTTTTTACAATTGCACACCTAAACATATCACTCATATTTGAGTAAATGAATGGTAATGTGGTGTCATTCTTCAAATTGCATTTTGTGCAGGATGCCTCCTAATGGTAGTTTAGAAGAGCAAGTGATTTGCATAGCAATGTTCTGCCTTCTTAATGAATGCATTTATTGTGTAATCTAGTGTTAATGTTGGGTCTCTACTGACATTTACATGAACAGGTACACTGAATAATTATTTACATACATTAAATAAGAGCATTTAAAATCTCGGTTTACACAGTGACATTTACTGATTAATAGATTAGACAAAATCATGTGTAAATGAGTGCAAATTGATAGTTTACATACACAATGCAAACTCGAATCTTAATTCTGTAGTGCATGGCTCAGTGTAACATTGCCTTTGCATTGCTATTCCTGCGCAGCAGTTGGATGGTTGTCACTTCTCTACACGCAGCAAGGGCTAGACTTAGTCCAGAGAGTTTCCTACTACTGCACAGTTACCCCTGAAAACAGAACATGGACCACAGATTCTTGGCCAGTTTGCTCACATTGGATGTATCTGAAACACTTAGAAATAAGCGTGAGGAGGAGAAGACTACAATGCCTATCTGGCCATTACATCTCAAACTCATCACGAACCCTCTAGCAATGTTGTACACAAGATTCTTCACAGCCAGAATGAACAGGAAGTCCTGAGATGAAGGTTAGGGTAACTTCTCAGTGCCTACCAGAGTAACCTGAATAATCTTGTTTTAGTAGTCCAGCATTTGAGTGTGACATGCACAGAGCTGGCTGTGGGGTTGCGTGTTCTGACACTATTTCTGCAGAAAACTAAAACCCTCTTCAGCAACAGTAGGCTTCCAAAGGTCCCCAAAATATCACGACACCTTTTCAAGGGAAAGGACTGTGAAGCATCACCCAAGGAATAATTCCTTCAGCTTCTGAGGACCTTAAGTACTTCTCCCCCATCTGACTGAACCTGCAACACCCTGAGGGCTGGGTGGGAGGACCAGGAGTAATGGTCCAAATCACCCTCAGTAAGACTTGACATATCTCCATCAAACACAGAGCGAGGATAGGGAGACCTGCCTTCAGTGCCTAAAATTAATCCTTGGGAACATCTTCTGGCCTCAGCAGCATTGCATGAGTTGGACAAAGTCTCCTTCCCACTGGTGTGCCATATAATTGTATTTCTGTGGGAGTCTTGCTGATGCATTGCTTCTTTGTGTTTAAGTGAGCTGTGAAGATCTGTGTGAAGCAGCAAACATGGTAAGTATGGTACAAACTGCCCTCTGTGCTGAAGTGAATGTATTTGGGGGATTTTTGTTGATCAAGGTCTTGATGTCAGAGGATAGTGTACCCACCTTGCTACTTAGTTAACAATTTCTACTAAAATGTCTTTGTCAATTAAAATAAATTTATATATTAAGACAAGAATAAACATATTTCACCAAGGTGAAGTAATGCTTTGTAGCTGTAGCAATTTATAACTTGAATTGTGCTGCTCAGATTTCCTTTCTTTCCCCAAAATCTTTCTGACAGTTGAACTGTATTAAAGGTAATTTAACCAGGTGGGTAAGTGACACAGTTTCTCCACAGTGAAACTTTTCTAGGGAAAGCTTTAGTGAAGTAGCACTGAAAAGATACTGACAGAAGCTTCCACTTAATCCCTTTTGTGCCACAAAATACATTTTAAAAGTACAATGATTCAATACTGCCCTGGAGCACTTGCTTAATAAAAAGAAAACTAGGACTTAATTAAAGATATAGGATTATATAGAGTAGATTCAGAAAAACAGACATAGAGCTGTGTATTGCATATGACTACCACATTTTTTGCCTTTCTACAGACCTTGTCTCCCCATGAAAAGTATTTTTAAGTATGGAGTGTCCACTCACCAAAAAGGAGGAGCTAATCTGGTTCATTAGTAATTTTCCAGATTTTAAAAAGACACGGTGTAGTTGACTCCTGCACTTATTATTACAATCTTTACAGAAGACTTCGCAAGTAATTATCCTGAACATGCGTATTTTGCATGTTAAGCTTTAGAAAGCCTCTGATAATATTATCTCTTTGCATTAGCTACTAACCATGTAAGCCAATACAAAGAGGTGACATTGTTATTGTATCTGTGCTTTTGCCAAAACATTGTACTGACGATCTTAAGATCCGGTGGAAAGTACATCCAATGTGATGACAGCTTTAGGAAGCTTTTGTGATATTTTTAGATGCACTTCTAATATCGCTGTGACATATCAATTGCAGGCCCAGATCAAAATCACTTTAATCTTTTCTCAGAAAAAAACCCAAACATAAACACATATCAACTTTTCTATCATGTCTCCAGACTCTAAAATTTGGATCGTCAAAAAATAGGGCAATTTTAGAAATATGAGTGACTTACTGAACAACACACTAATTATTTGAGTTCATAGAAATGAAGGGAGAGGAAACTCAACCCAGAAAAAAAATGATTACAAGAAGGGAATGTGCAAAGACTGGTAGAAAAGAGATTACAAAGGCCACTTTAGAAAGCAGAAAGAATCAGCACACCAAGAAATAAGCTGTGTGGGCCACAAACATTTGCGTGACAGCCTGAGAGAGGAAGACATAAAACCAAACGTTACAAACATCTCAACAGATAACAAAGCTAGAATGAATATTTAAAAGGACTGTTTTATCTTACAACACAAAATGCATTCAAAAGCACACTTGCTGTCTTTGTTTGCTTGTTAGTAAGACAAATCCTCTCTAAGGAGCGCGCTGATGGAGGGCTAGAGAGCTTTGCTCACAGTTTTGTGCCAGTACAGCAAGGTCACTTAGAAACTGTATTTACTCAGCTTCTCTACTGTTACTAAACTCCTGTGAACACAGTGAGTTCAAATACATCTAATGAAAAATCTAAAATTAGGTGAGAAGTTAGGCTATATTAAAATAAAGATTATTTAATTAATGAAATGCTTTATCAATAGAACAGTGTAAACGGTACTTTATAAAACCCAAACAACTCAGAACTCCCAGTGAAAAGGGAAGAATTCCTAATAAAAATGTAAGAAATGTGTAAGCATATTCAGAAACAATCTCAACCAAGCCTGTTTTAATTAACCAGACTTTCTAGGAAGAAGTGTTTTGAATGAATGAACGAATGAGTAAGGTAGACTGAGGACAGACAAAGCTGCGGTCTCAAGAGATGCGAGGTTCTCGTTCCTCAGTTGCCAGAATAAAGTGGCACAATGAAGAGGAATACAGCCCTGAGGGATGCAGAACCCTTATGGATTTATTATTATTTAGTTAACTAGATATCTGATGACCGAGCAGTTTCTTCCTCTTCTGGAGGAAGCCAGCATTCCAGCAGCAAGGCCAGGTGTGAGTGAACACAGTATCCCTTCTTTCAATGCAAAATCCTGAAAGGAGGTTGTAGAGAGGTGGGTGTTGGTCTCTTCTTTCCTGTAACTAATTAAAGGAAAAGAGGAAATGGCCTCAAGTTGCGCCAGTGGAGATTTAGATTGGATATTAGGAAAAACTTCTTTACTGAAAGAGTAGTCAGGCACTGGAACAGACTGCTCAGTGAGGTGGTGGAGTCACCATCCCTGGAGGTGTTCAAGAAGCGTGTGGATATGGCACTTCAGGACATGGTTTTGTGGGTATGGTGGTGTTGGGTTGACGGTTGGACTTGATGATCTTAGAGGTCTCTTCCAACCTTAATGACTCTGTGGTTTTATGGAGGAGAGAGACTTCACCTTGATCTAATCTTCTGGTGAAATTCTACATGAAGTGGAAAAAGACAGGTCTTTGCCTTAGTATGACAAAAAAGGATTCCTAAAACCTACCTGATAGCCATGTTGTGAGCTGCAGTTCCCAAAGCTCTTCGACCCAGTATGCACAAGGCAAAGGAAAGCGTCACTAGAGGAGAATCCTCATCACTGTCCAGGTGCTACAAAGTTTTAAGAACAGCATGTTATTCTAAATGCAAATACCATCTGTATATCAATGGTAACATTCATAAAATTTACATGTAGCCGGACCTACACACAAAAGCACTCTTTGCAATGAAACAAAACAAGAAGGAAGATCATCGCCATCAGAGGCTTTCTGCAAAAGGCAAGCTTGTTTTGCCCACTGGCAAACGGAACTTTTCAATCTCAGGTGCTGAGATCCTAAGGGGGAGAAGTTTTGGTGGTGGAGGGTTTTTTTTGGTTGTTGGTTCTTCTGGTTTTTTTTTTGTTTTTTTATATCTGACATTCTAAACCAGAGCAGAATCCTTATTGCTGGGAGACACTGCAACTGGAGGCAGCCAAACCCCTTTTCATGAGACAGTGCCTATGAAACCTCAACACAGATTCCAGAAGATCAATCTATTCAGAAAAATTTAGAGACATTTCTTTACTGAAATTTTTGCAAAGAAAACTTTGCTATCAAGTTGGAGGAAAAAACGAAAAAAACCCCTCATGAATGTAAATCTTTAGGAGGATACAGATTACTGTTTTAGTCCATGCAACAAGTGATTTCTCATAGCTTTCTTTGACTTTAAAACTGAATCCAATTATAATGGAGAATGTAGTTCCTCCTATAAAACAAATTGATTTTCAGGGCTATGTGAACAGTGAAGCTTTTTTTAGCATCTCATCTCCTACATGAACTTTACCCCTATATAGTCAGTGAATTACAAAAACAGCTAAAAGAAAAAGATGTAAAAAATATATCAATATGTGTGCAGGAGCACATCAGTGTAGGCATTTGTTTGCCCCTTTTGAGTCTAGCTGGTAAGTTTCAAGTCTGTTGGGCATTTCTAACTCTATTATTCTATTTTAAAGTCTCAGCCACATAAGTGAAAAAAGCAGCACTTAACGGCGGCTTTCCCTGCACCGTGCAATTCTTTGTGTCAGAACTTGGGAGCTGAGACAAGGAGTTGGGAAAGAAGAGAGATGAAATATTCCCAGTAGGAGGAGATGGTGGGGAAGGATCAGAGGACAATTCAGTGAAACCAGTATCAATGTAATGATACGCAGAGGAACTGATGGGATGATATTCAGGGTTAGAGACATAAGGAGGAACCAAAGAGGAGAAGAAACATTAAGATTCAGTGCTGTTATTGCAGCTAAGGTCAGTGGTAGCAAATGGGATGTGCACTTGCTGACCCTGAATAAATAATACACAAATAATAGCACATGGTGGCCAGGAAAGATAAACTTCTCATTTTTTTGCCATTATCAGCAATAATCAGAAAATGAAATCAACGAAATATGCTTGTTTGAAACTGTAGTCTCCCTCTGGGTTATTCTGAGTATTCCACAGAAAACAGAAGTGCATTCCTGACAAATGATTGCTGACCATCAGTAATCTTAGTGGCTTAGAGCATGTGAATGTGGAGCTGTAAACCTGCCCTTGACCTCCTAGAGCTGCGAGGTAATTTCACATGGTTTTGTGGCATGGTTCATGTTTGAATCTCAGAGCTCTCAGAGGTGACCTATCTTAGCAGAGAATTTGTTATGCACTTCCCTACCATTTGAAGACTTTACCCAAACATAGGCAAATGTTTGGAAAGGGTACACAAACATCACCAATGTTTGGCAAATGTTCCCAAACACTGGCAGCACTGAAAGAATGAATGATGGGATTTCCTGAGCAGAGACTGCTCCAGCATCACTTCTGTGAACACTTATTATTTCCATGCTTTTTAGAGATGATAACATTAATGGTGTAGAAAATGTGCAGTATAAGGAATTGGTTCTGTATTTAGAGACTAACCCTCCTTATAACTCACTTTTTGCACAAGAGTAGAACCCAGAATAACTTTTTTTCCATTCCACAAAACATATTTTTCCTTTTATGTTAAATCTGACAGCTTAAATGAAATAAATGTTATTGTATTAATCCTGTGCAAGCAAAAGAGATGCATCATTCAAATCCTATCCCAAGAATTAAAATTACTACTACTACTAAAAAAAAATGCAAGCTTACCTCTGCCCTTTTCCTAGCACAGAACTGAATCCAGTCCAGATAAACACTGCAGAAACTGGCTCTAGTTATTCCTTGGAGACACGGAACATAATCTTCGTCTATGTTAATGTTAAACATTGCAAGGTCACGTTCAATATAATGCCACTTTGCATAAGGCTGCAGTATCTTTTGGATAGATTCATCTTTTATCCAGTCAAGGATTTTGGAAGAACTTGCTGTAAAGTATATTATACTCTGTTGACAAAATGCACAAACGTTAGTCACTTTATCTCTGATTAAAGCAGATATATTTTACACAGAAGAGAATAAATCAAATAGGGCCACACTGCCTACCCATAATGGTACACATTTTTCCTATTTTTTTTACTGCTTGGCATCATTGCTTCACAAAACTGTTCAAGTTAGAAATACTATAATAATTCATATCTAAACAGCAGGCAACAGAAAAAGAAGTCATACTTTTAATACCCTTCTCCCTTATATGAAAATTAATACAAAAAATAGACTACGATAAGAACACACAGTTCCAGCATTCAAACATGTTAATTACTGGATATTGGTGGGGTTCTAGAGTCTATCACCAAGAAGGTGGTATTGGTAAAAGTTCAGGCATATTTTGAAAAAGCGGTACTAGATAGTCACATGTGTAAAATAGGACCCTTTATCCTCCATGGACTTCCTGTTTTCTGGGGGGTGAAGGTTTACTAATTCTTTAACAAAAAATTCCACCATGATTTAACCTCAAAGGTGACACTTGACAAGTGGGTACACCACAAGGCCGACAATCCCCATTTTAATTGCTGTTTTCTCTCCGTCTTTAGTAGCATGACTATTTTTGTTATTTGATGGTGAGGCCAGTAAAGAATAACGGATTATTTCTTACATGTTGGATTAAAAATCTGATACCTGATGCAACTGAGTTTGCATTTAAAGCTCTGAAGGAGGAGCAGAATTCAGCAGG